CCTTCCCTCTTCCTCTCCCTTCTCCACTCGCTCCCTTTCCTACGTGCTCCTCGTCTCCTTGCCCGCTCACTTCTTCCTTTCCTTCTGCTCCAATCCTGTTTTATTCCCCTTCCCCGTCCCTATGCAGAGGGACTTGGGATACCTGGGTTCTGTTCCCATCTCTGCTACTCTGACCTGGTATTTCCCATCCCACCCGCCCTCTTCTTTGTAGGTTGTAAGTTCTTTGGGGTGGGCTTGATCTCTTACTCTGTGTTTGTACAGCACCTCACACAATAATAATACCTCACTATTTTGTAGTGTTTTGCATCAGGTCTCAAACTGGTTTACAAAGGAGGTCAACATCACTATCAACATTTTATAGATGGGGAAACCGAGGCACAGAATGGTGAAGACTTGTCCAAGGGCACACAGTGACCGAGCAAGCAATGGAACCCAGGTCTTCTCAATCCCAGTTCAGTGCTCTGCCCACTAAGAAACACTACCTCCAGGATCTCAGAAGTTGCTAGCTACTACCCTAACATAACTGATACTAATCCATGTTCTTGGTTCATTTCATTAGGGGGTTGTAATAAGGGTGTAAACTCACAAGAGTGCTGGTAAGAGATGGATCTTTATTGCCAGGCCCCAGATCTTGCAGGGATTAGGAGTGTCCACTCACTCCAGTGGCTTCTGTTACAAGGACCATTTGCGAAAACTTGGCTTTGGATGCATGTTTGGCTTTTTAAATACCTCAGAGGGATTGGATCCAGGGTTTCCAACCAGCCTCTTATAAGGATAAGGACTCTGTGCGAAACTTGGATATGGAGCTGAATTTGGATTTCCATCATCACAAAATTCAGATCCTGCCTCAGATCCCCAGCTGGTATAGATTGGTGTGTCCCTATTGAGCTGAGACGCTGGCCCACAGCTTCATAGATATTCAGTGTTGAAGCTGTTTCATAGTGTGGCCAACTCTCCTGACTTTCTGGAGAGTCTTGTCATACTTGGTGTGTTTAGTCAAGCCCCAGCTCCCGGAGACGTGATTGTGTGAAAATCTTGGCTTTCGTTAAAAGACAAAAGTACGTATCTAGCTCTCATGGAAAATACCCTGGTAATGTGATCGGAGTGTGACCTAAAGGCTCAGAACCCAGAAGGCAAAGAAAAAAGAACACTACATTTCTTCTTTTTAAGCCAAACTGTCTTAAAAATCAAGACTCTTGTGATTTTTTTTTTTAATTATTATTATCTTTGGTGACCTGGCATAAGAACTGCCACCCTGGGTCTGACCAAAGGTCTGTCTAGCCCAGTATCCTGTCTTCCAACAGCGGCCAATGGCAGGCATGATATTTGAATTTGTGGGGACGGTGTTACTGGGTATTTAGCTCTCAGGGGCTATTAATTTATGGTATAATGCTTACTCTCCGAGGAAGTATCCTTGTCAAGTGGGACAAATGCTCTGGGCTTATCAATAGGAGGCTGTAGGAGCCACTTCTTACGGAAGATAAAGGGCATTTCCACCAGTCCTGAAGGCGTTCCCTGGGTTTCTGCCCCCCATGCTTGCAGTCCACCCTCCTCTTTTTGCCCCTCCAAAAGCAGGCGCACAGCTCATCCTCCTGGGGTGCTGTCTGGGGAGGGAGAGCCTCTGCCAGCCCCTTCCTGTTCAATTGAATGGGAGCTTCCAGGATGCAGCTGAAGTGGCTGAATTGAAGGAAGTGAGAGAAGGGTCCCAAGGGGGAGTCACAACAAGGCTGGTGGAAAGCTAAATTCAGGTGTGTGAGAAAGAGAGAGAGAGAGGGCTCAGGATGAGCTGTCCCCAAGCTCCAAAATGTCCCTATCCTGGCTGTTCCTTCAGTTTGGGAAGCATCCAGCTCATAATGGATGCTACTGCTACCACTAATTATACCTGGTTCTTATCTTAGTGCTCTTTGTCAGTAGATCTCAACGTGCTTTACAAAGGAGGTCAGTCCCTTTTAACAGGTGGGGAAACTGAGGCAGGGTGAGGGAATATGACTTGCCCAAGGTCACCCTGCAGAGCTGGGAATAGAACCCGGGTCTCTGCTTTATCCATAGTCCAGTCTCTAAATTTTCTGCCTCCATAATTCTCTGTACCCTGCAGGCTTCACCAGGTACACCCGTCACAACAACAATATCAATGCCCCTCTGCTATGCAGTAGCAGATATCCGGGTCCTCCAGCTCAGTTTCCTGTTGGAGAAGAAATCAATGATATGGAGCCAGGGTATTTTCTTAGTGGAGCTTGTTTATTTACGCTATATACACCAGTCCTGGAACAGAGATGGTCACAAGCAGCATGCAAGCAATCTCCTCTTTCAAGACTCTCAGCCCAAACACTGATGCCCAGTTCCCAGGGATGACTCAGTCCTGAGAACTGACTCTAGTTAGAGAGATTCAGGCAGAAAGCAAACTTTCCTGCAACGTGCAACGGCTGCCCTGAGGCAAACCTGCGTGACAAAAACAAATAGCAAAAGAGCATGTCTTCAAAGACTGTACACTTGCTCCTACACTGAGACGGGGGAAGAAACTCTGTGTAAGACTGTGTAACAGGGACCCCTGGTGACTCCTGCAAGAACAGTTATTTCCCTTAAAGCAGAATAATCCATCCCACTGCAACTGCGTTCAGAAGCATGTAAATAAATCATCTGGAATTTAAACAGGACAGTGGGGTTAATACACCTCTCCTACTCTATGGGATCTTTAATGACCAAGTGGGCCAGACCTCAGTTTCACATCTCACCTGAAAGATGAGTGAGACACCTTCCTTCATCCTTCTCATGTAGATAAACTGAGTTCTATGCAGGTAAGGGCACCTCTTGGGGGAGATCATATATGCTCACTGTCTTTCTGCATGTACATTAAAGATCTGATGGCATTTTTGGACAGAGTACAGGCTGGCACAGGTGTCCTTGGCCAAAAGTTCCCTCCCTCCTCCTGATGTGAGCTAGTCTTCTGGCGGACTGCTTCCCTGCACCCCAGAGGAGGCTGCAATCCAATAGTGCCCCATGAGTATGGGTTCCTCAGTGCATTAAGATCTCTTGGGAAGACAGGCACTACATAAATGTAAAATATTGTCATTTTGGGTCCCATCCCACAGCTTTCACTCCTACTTCATTCTGGCCAACCGTCCATTAAGGATGGCAGGGTATAGCCTGTTCGGACAGATTTATTATGCATAGAAAGGGGAGAGTTTGTTTTCCATAGCAGCTTTCCCAGTCAAAGCATCCCAGGGCCTGATCCTCAGCTGGTATAAATCAGGGTAGCTCCATTGACTGCTCCAATGTGATGCTGATTTACACCAACTGAGGATCTGGCCCCCAAAGGGCAGTACGTGAACCATAGATAGGGGGCGGGGCGTACTTTGGGTGTCGTACTACCATTGATTTTTTTTTATATACCTGATCCATAATTGAATATCTTTCTCTCAGGCCTAAGGGCCAAATTACATTCATCCTTCTGTGGATACGCAAAGCGGGCTGCCAGGTACCTCCAACCCCGTGCAGGAGGTAGCTGTACTTGGGCTGCGGATGCTAAAAAGAGCAAAGGAGGGAGGGGCCAGCACTGCCAGGGAGGTGTATTTGGGACCAGGGGCTGGCCACCACCAGCCAGGGGCCTCAACGGAACAGGAAGTGAGTGTAAATTGCCCCTTTCCCTCACTTTGTATTAAGTGCTGTCTGCATGGCATATTACCCCCTTCCTTCTCGGCTCCTACACGATGACCCCCTGGCTGGGTTCTCAGGAGGAATTGAACCGAGGAGTTTTGGAGATAAAAGTACCATCTGCTCCATTCATCGCTTCCCTGCAGAGACAGCAGAGCCAGGTGGACCATTCTGGATCTCTCCTCTGGCTGTGGGCTGGATCCCAGAGCCTAGTACGCTTAAGGGAAAGACTTCGCTCCCTGAGCTCTGGGGTTACCCTTAGCCCTGCCCTAGAGAGCCTCCAGCAAGCCCCGGCCTCCCACTCAGCCCAAACTGCCAGCAGGCTACGGTGGGGATCCTACAGACCTGGCTGCACAATCCTAAAGGCCCAGAGATGACTATGTAGGTAAACATGGCACCAGTAAGCTGCTGATTTATATGGGTCGATTTGCAGAGGGGCTGAGCACTCACAGTGCCGGTCAGGTCATGAGCAAATTGCTCACCCAGGACGTTGGGCACCGGCCTTGGCAAAGGAGTTGTCCCTTATTCGTTTCCCAAAAGGTGCTGGGGCTCCTTAGCTTCTCCCTGGACAGTCACTAGAAACCACCCAAAGGAAGGTTTTGATGTGAGGCCTCATCCAACATCTGGCAGTCCAGCTTTCCCCGGGGGAGCATTTTCAGCCTAAAGTGCCTGGTGTTGGATTTCCCATGAGGGGGACCCCCCACCCGCAATTCTGGCAGGGGGTCAGCCCAGGCACGTTCTGAACCCTCCTCAAATTTCCCCTGGCCTGTCCCAACATCTTGAAAAATACCCTGGGAGGGATAAAGAGCCCTTTGCCTGGCAGGGCGCAGCGAGCCAGGAGGGAGGGCATGCCAACGGACATGGGCTGGCTCATCCCAGGCCAGCACTCCAGGGCATTAGGGAGAGCAGGAGACTATCTGCTGACTGTCTCCTGAGAAGGTCACATTGGGCTGCGTGGATTTACACCGGCTGAGGATCTAGCCCATTCTAGCTGCTCTTGGCATCTGTTAGTCTGGCTGTGGATGGAGCTGGCCTGGCAAAGTCGGTGGGTCTGTTTTTAACTCCAGCCTCTGATCTCCCTGGGCCGGTGCCTCCAGCGATCTCCCCTGCCTTTTCCCCCAGGAGAGCATGACATTCCCACCCCTCCCTGGAGTGTGGCCAGGCTTAATTCATGGGGGGTAACGTGCTGGGAGATCCCCAGATGGTCCCGGGGTGTAAACTCCCTAGCCGGGTAGAGGTGGAGGAGGGTGGATAGGGGCGGGCTGGACTGATCAATACAAGGCGCGCTGAAGGCGGGGCGGGAAGGGTTAACCAGCTCGGAGGAGAGGAGAGAGGGGCTGAGCCTGGAAAGGCAGGAGCCGCGTATAAAAGCAACAAGCAGCCGACGGCATTTCATCAACCCGGCCCCCAAACAGGGCTGTGCCGCCGCCCGCGGGTCTCGGATCGGCCCCCACCCCAGACGCAGCCGCCACCTGCCGCGCTCCCTCGCTGGCGCCCTGCCGGGGAAGGTGGCGAGCCCAGAGAAGGAGCAACAGATCCCCCTGCCCCAGCCCCGGGAAGCCAGCGCCTGCTGGGTGATGCAAGAGGATACTCTGGGTGTGAGGAAGCTGCAGTTGCCACAGGCCAGCCCAGCGCCCCCCGGATCGCCTCCTTCCCTCCCTCCCTCCCGCCGAGCCAAAAAGTGACCGTGAGTTGGCAGCGAGCGAGGAACAAGCGGCTCCTGGATCCCACCCATCCACGCGAGCGAGCTCGTCTCGGGGCTGAAAAAAAACCAACCAAAAAAACAAAAAAACCCAACCCCCAGCCTCGGAGACAGAGGCAGACAGAGCCCGGGCGAGGCTCCTGGTCCTAGCAAGTGTGTTTACATCCCCTCCGCCTGCAACTGACCCAGATCCCAGAGACTCCCAAGCCAACCCTCGGCTCTCTTCTCTCCCCGAAGCGCGCCTGGAAGGGGAATCCAGCCGAGCTGGGGGGACGGCGTGTTTCCCCCCCCCAGCCTCAAGCCAGGATCCCGGTGCACCCGGTGCTGCCTGCTGGGGAGCGGATTCTATGGAGTGTCTGACAGCAGATGAAGGGGGAATAGAAGAAACCAAAGCCAGCCGTTCTTGTTGGTCCTTAAGCCTGTCTTGGAGGGGAGTATAAACACAGGGAACCAACTCCTCTAAATATAGCCAGGATCAGGTATCTACTCCTCTTGTGTATGAGAGAGAGAGAGATCTTCCTGGAGCATCGCTCTGAATCACTTTCCTTCCTGCTCTTCCAAACTTTCAGATCGATCTTAAAGCAGAGCAAAGCTCTCCCATCTTTTCCCAAAGACTCTGGTTTTTGGATTGATTGATTTTTGCCATCGCCAGCAGAGAGAGGAAGACAGACACTTGCTGCGGCTGTTGAAATCTCTCTGTCTCTCTCTTACTCAGATTTATTTTTGTGGCTTTCCCAACAGCCACATCTATTTGCTCCCCGAATCAAAGTGCCTTTTGACGCTACTTTCCAGCTTGCAGCCCGGTGGCACGAGCTTCTGTCACTGTTCTTCTCTTCCCGGTGGGGATTTCCTCGTTGCGGCTTCCTGGTGTTTGGAGCAAGGGCACCAGGCCTTCGTATTGACCCCTTCCTTCTCTCCAAAGCAGCCACCTGCGCCCAGTCTCCTCCTCCAGAGAGAGATCCATGAGGCAGCCAAAGGGCAGAGCTGTCTGAGGTTGGGGAAAGAGAAAGCTGAGCTCCCCCCCCCCACAATTGCCCTTCCGTCCCAGCTCCTTGCTCAAGGAAGGGTGTTTAGAGGGCATTTCCCATCCACCTAAATCTATGATCAGCTCGGTGTGTGTCTCATCGTACCGTGGACGCAAGTCTGGGAACAAACCACCCTCCAAAACATGCCTGAAGGAAGAGATGGCCAAAGGGGAAGAGTCGGACAAGATCACTATCAATGTAGGGGGCACCAGGCATGAGACCTACAAGAGCACCTTGCGGACGTTGCCCGGCACCCGCCTGGCTTGGCTGGCCGACCCCGATGCCCAGAGCAACTTCGACTTCGACGGCAAGAGCAATGAGTTCTTCTTCGACCGCCACCCGGGCATCTTCTCCTATGTGCTCAACTACTACCGCACGGGCAAGCTGCACTGCCCTGCTGACATCTGCGGGCCCCTCTTCGAGGAGGAGCTGACCTACTGGGGCATCGATGAGACCGACGTGGAGCCCTGCTGCTGGATGACCTACCGGCAGCACCGCGACGCCGAGGAGGCGCTGGACATCTTCGAGAGCCCCGAGCCCGGGGCAGGAGGAGAGGAGGCCGAGGAGGAAGGGGGCAGGGAGATGGCCCTCCAGCGCTTGGGCATGGACGACCGGTCGCCGGGGGCTGCTGGGGCCACAGGAGGGCGTGGATGCTGCCGCAACTGGCAGCCTAGGATGTGGGCGCTCTTTGAGGATCCCTACTCGTCCAGGGCAGCAAGGGTGAGTTTGCGAGAGACAACCCCGGCGGGTGGGTGGGAGGGGAGAGAGGGATCAGAGCAGGTGCAGGGTCATTGACATGCATTGGTTCCCCCCTCATTCATCTGCTCCCCGGGCCCATTGGTTCACCCTGTCATTCATCTGCCACCCCTCCATGGGTGCCTCAGTTCTCCCATTCATCTCCCCCACCTGAGCTGCCTTGCTGCCCTCCCCATATTTCCCCCTAAGGGATGCTGACTCTTCCTCCCTCCCCCCACCCATGCTCCTCTCTAACTTCCTCTACTCCACTTCTCCTGCCATGCATAGGGGGTGGTTTCAGCCACAGAATGATCAGCCGCCAGCCCCCGACACCAGGCCAGCACACGTCCCCGGCTGCCATCCCACAGCCGGTGGGGACTGAGGGATTGCCAGGGAGAGTCCTTGCCAGCCCTAAATCCTGGCAGAATTCCAGGTGGCTCCGGAGGCTGGTGGATTATCCAGTTCCTCTTGCCATTCTCTGTGGATCTACATGCTGAAAGTGGTTTAATGTCATAAGGTTACGGCAGGGAGTCCAGGACTGGAGTGCTCTCACACCCAGGCCTGCCGACATGGACAGACCCACAACACGCCCACACAAAGCCTGTCTCTCTCACACACACATCTGTGCACGTTAAGGGGACTCATGCAAACGCACCCACCCACACCCATCTGTACATATTCAAATACATGGAACATCCCCATACAAACTCTCCTGCCTGTTCCCTCACTCCCGCGTACCAGAATCCCTACCGATGAACACACTGGCATAGACACACCCCCATATGCATGAACACAGACACATCTGTGTGTACACAGCAACACAAACACACAGCGTATCCCTACCCAATCCCATAGAAGCTCACCTGCACCCATCTTCACCCTCACACACACCAGCATGTGCTTCTCTTCGCACACTCCTCCCCAAGCCCACACACCACCAACTCATACAAACACACACTCATGTGCTGCCATGCAAATCCCCATCTACCCCTGCACCCTCGTCCGCTCCTGTTTGCACATCCGTTCCCCGTTTCACACCCAGGTCGTAAATACCATCAGGCTGACACGCTTGGGAACGAAAAGAGGGTTTGACATTCCTGGCAGGAACCGCACTCAAACCCAGAGAGTGAGATGCTCCTCCGGAGTGTTTCCTTTCAACTAAAAGAGAAACCCGACAGACACCAGAATAAAATGCTCTGGCAGCAACGGCCTTTCCAGAGAGACCCGTTCTAAAGAGGGAACCAAACCTCCGTCCCCTCTCTGAGGGATCTCTGGCTTTGAGAGCTGCTCCAAAACAGACGCCACTGAAAACAATTGCTTAGGAGTTTTTTGCACTGCATTTCCCTCACGCTGAGCTCCTGTTTTCCAGGCCGGGGTGCTGATGATGGAAACCAGGCATTGGGTATTTCTTATGACTACTCCAAGCCAGGGGGAGTGGCGCACTGCTATGATAGCCTCAGGGATAGCTCATTGGGAGCAGAGGTTGATGTCCTGGGTGCAGTGGGTGGGAGGCTATAGCGTAGCTAGGTAGGCAAGTGACTATAAAAATGGCTCCTCCTTATCCTTTATAATAGAACGAGTCTACATAGCATATAGCTGCAGTGATCTCGGGCTCCTTTCGGTAATGCTTTCCATTCCACTATCTCACAGCATTTTGCAAAAGTGTGGGACAGCAAACGGTCCTTTTTTCCGGGAAACTGAGGCACCGAGCAGTGAAATCACCCACTCCAGATCGCTCAGAGCCAGGAACAGCACGTGGGTTCCCTGATTCTCAAGTCAGCAACTGATCCCCTGGACCACTGGGGCAGAGTAACTAAAGCAGGGAGCCATGGTGGGTGGTTAAAGGACTGGGAGCAAACTGGGGCCATATCCTCAGCTGGCATAAACGGTGTCCTTCCAAAAAGCCATACTGGAATTTGGGGGTGTTTAAGCTGTGGGCTTTGTTTCCAATCCATCTTTAGCTCTCATAGTCACCTTTACTCTGACCTACATCCGCAGCTGTAATGAAGTCAGTGGAAGTGTGCTGAGGATCCAGACCTCTCTTTGTAACCTGACAGGCTAGGGGCTAGAAGAGCGTTTAAACGTGGTGAAATCTGATCGGGTTCAAAAGCCCTTCTCGAGCCAGGCCTTGGTATTCCACCTGCTGGATTCTAAACAAATCCTTCTGCCTACTGGACTCTGTGCTTGGAGGAGAAGGAGCCGGAGAGTGTGACCAGCCAGTTCCCTCTGACATCTGTGTTGTCTTGGCAATGAGCTTTGCAATCCTACTTGCTTTGTTGGGGCAGGACTTGTCAGTGCTTGGCCTGAATCTCCTCTCCCTCACCCTGGTGTAAATCAGGAGTAACTCCATTGGGTCTCATGGCATTATGCCAGTGGTAGTGTGAGAGGAGAATCGGGCCCACTCCCCATCTATCCCACGCACCATTTTACCACAGCTAAATAGGACCCACTGAGTGGAAATGCACCAGTTACACTGGTGTAAGCAAGGTCAAAAGTTGGCCCAAGTTGTTTTCTCAGAGGATGTAATTGACTTGGTAGGGCCAGGGAGAACGTATGTGGCAACGAGTTGGATGTGGAGGTGACTCCCCTGTAGCTATATAGGATATATAGGTACAGGGCCATACCCTCAGCAGGTGTCAATCAGTGTAGCTCTGTGGAAGTCTTTGCACAGTGAGTCTTGACTCTTTGTGTGACTGTGGGAAAGAGAGGGGAAAGGACAATATCTTATACTTAAGCCGCAGCAGGCCACCTCCTCAGTGGGTGTCAATGAACATAGCTCTGCTGAAGATAATGGAGCTATACTGATTTACACCCCTCATTGGGAGTAATGCCCCACCAGCTTACGTCTTGTAAAGTCTTTGACAACAGTGGAAAGTGAGTGTCAAAACTCGACCAAGTCAGAATGGTGGTGTTTTACACTGTGTGCAGGTGTAAATGGTGGCACGAGTGCCGTGGACCATCAGTCCTGTTAACTAATGCACATCTCACCCCTATGGGGAAGCTAAGTATTATCGCCATTGCAAGGATGGGGGAAACTGAGGCACACTGTGAATCGCGGGAAGAGCTGAGCGGAGCAATCAGCATCTCCTGGCTTCCTGTTCTGTGCTCAGTCTCCAGCCCCCTCTCAATTTATGCAGCATCTTTCATCCTGAAGGATCCCGAAGAGTCTTACAAAAATTTGGATCGAATTCTGCTTTACTTACACCAGTGTCAATGCAGAATAACCCCACTGAAACCATTGGAGTTGCTCCAGATTTCTAGCAGTGTAGCATAGAAAAATTTGGCCCTTTATAGAAAATTTGTCACCCACCACCAAAATACAGCCACCTCTAAGGTGGAGCGTGGCAGCTGCTTACCAGCATGTAGTAACACTCCCTGGAAGATGGGCGCAGGAAGCATCCAATATCCACATGAAGTAGAAGGGAGAATTTGTCTTTGTCTTATGGTAGTGCCTAGAGGCCTCGTGGTGCAAGGAACTGTACAAATACTGTTCAGTAAAACAGTTCCTGCCTGTAGAGTTTATGATCTAAGCAGACAAAACAAGGATTACTGTTCCCACTGTAAAGGAGCTGAGGTGTAGGGAAATTAAGTGATGTGCCTACGGTCACAAAGGGAGTCAGTGGCAAAGCCAGGAAGCTAGTCCAGACGTTTTGAGTTGCTAGCTAGTGCAGTAGAGAGGAAGGATGATCCAATGGTTAGAGCACTGGCATCGGACTTGAGAAAACTGGATTGAAGCCACTGCTCTGCCCCAGATTTAACCTCTCTCTGTCTTCGTCCCCCTTCTGTACAATGAGGATAATAGCACAGCCAATAACAGGGCCATATAAGTACTACAGAAGGCTAATCACGAGGCCGTCCTTCCCTGGGTGGATCTGCTGACTCAGCCTGTCCTGGGGCTGGCATTACCCCGGTCAGGTGAAAGGGAGCGTGCGTTCCCGAAGTGACAGAGTGGCTCCAAGGCTGCTGATGTGAGCTGAACCCTGAGTAAATCTAGTGCACTCCAGTGCTGGAAGGGAAGTGACGGACGTTTGGTCACCGTAGCTCGACTAATGCATCCCACTTGGCCTGCAGGCCTCCTCGTCAGCGGCCGAGCATTCAGACACCCTGAATTTGAGAAATAGATTGCTCTGACAGAAGCTAAGCAAAAAGTAAACAGGATGGAGGGGTGGGGAACGGAGCTGATGAGAGATACCTGTTGCCTAGCTACGGGCCCGGTTCCTGCTTACTCGAGTCCTGTTTCACCAGAATCACAAAGTCCAGGGTGTCTGGGGTTGTGAGCCAGCTGATGGCGTCCGTCTCCTGCCCTGTTTATGGCCCCGGTGCCCCACCTTAGCCTTTTGCAGCACAGTGCTATTGCCACACGGTGCCAGCATTTTGCCTGGTTACCTCTGTGCCCAGCACAGGGTTTCCATTGTTGGACTGTAGTTTAGGGCCTTAGGACTGACGCTGTGTTGCAACAGGCAGGCAGGTCTGCTGGCTGCTTTATTTCAGCCATCCAGCCCGTGCCTTGCATGTCAAATTTATTAGATTTCGCTCGTCGATTTACCCGACAATTTGGGATCAGCTGGAAAAAATTATCCTTTGGATTTCTGTCAAAACATGCCAGTGTATGGAGATCACATCTGCCCTTCTGTTAGCTGCCTCTGTTGATGGCAGGGCAGAAGCCAGTTATTTAATTCATCTGGGAGCCTGATCCTTTCCTTCCCCACAGCACTTTCCTCTCTGGATGTTTTTTCTCAATGGGTGAGAATGAGATGGGCTGTGATGTTTTCCCAGGGCAGTTCCAAGGAAGCAGAGTGAGGCTCCCTGGTCGTGGAAGCCAGGTGGGACAAGTGCACGGCCCAGGTCCACGGTTGGAGGCATCTGTGATGCTATGTGAAAGGAGGATGCTGTTACAGAGCCAGCGTGGCTGAGATTGGAGCTAGGAGGTGACAGAGACGGGAGCCTGATTCCTCTCTTTCTCATCCCAGTGTAAATCAGGTGCA